TCCGATTTCACAAAGCTGTTAAGAATCCCGTTTCCTTGGCCCAAATCAATGCCTTCTGGACTACACGTCTAGCACAGAATTTTTCTTAGGAAGCTTTATTTGGAACAATAAACAGCATTTTACTTTCTGTGCCACTTGGAAAGTACCGGTCGGATTTTGATAAAATTTTCACACAAGGTTAGTACTATGCCAAGGACGAAAAAGCTTTAAGGTTTTTAAAAATTAGTACAGTGGCGGCGGACCTAGGGGCAAGAAAAGTAAAAATCACACATACTTTGTTTTTTGAAGTTTCATCCTGATCATTTTTGGAAAAATTTTAAGGGATGAAAAATTGGTGGGTGAGAGTTGTAGTGGGGTGGGGGAGAGTATATATCAATTTTTTAGAAGTGGTTATCTTATACACCTCCACTCGTGCTGATACTACGCTCTTAACACTATAATCGTGGAGAAATATTTTCGATTCTCACGAGTCGATCATACGTTTCGTGGTCCTGCCGATGTACGAGTCCCTTCCCACTTCAGTTGGCCCAACTATTGAAATCTTAGTTTTTTTCTTATCAAACACAAATAATAAAAATGTAGCAGGGTGTTATAGGTTTAAAATATTAACAATGAATATTTTGATAATATATAGTAGATAGAAAACACCAACTTTATCACTCCCTAATCAAATTTGCAGCATAAAAATAACACATGTTGCAATTACAGCACATCAACCTATTTTCATTTCAATGCAAAGCAAGTCTATAACGCAAAGGTGGCTGTGAAAAATGAAAACCATGACAATTGTTTTTATTAATCACAGATGTCAGAATACGTTTAAAATAGTTTTGGGTAGTTAAGGTTTTCAAAATGGGTAGAGGAAAGGTCATTAGTGAGAAAATTCGGTTACTGATAATTAAACTTTTTAATTCTGGGAAATCAAACTCAGAAATTGCAACTTTGTTAGACTTATCGCGGTACAGTGTGAGAAATATGGTTAGAAGATATAACGTAACTGGTTCAGTTAATATTAAGCCACGATATGTGAAAAAAAGTAATATCACAAATGCCGACCGAAGAGCATTAAGAAGAATAATCGTGAAAAACGGGCGTGCCAATTATTTACAATTAAGTGCTCTGTGGAGTGACGCTGTTGGAAGAAGAATTTCGAGGTCCACAACTCATAGAGAGGCCCACAAACTGGGATTTAGCACTTGCAAGGTAAGTTTTCTTATAAAAAAAGTGAAGTAAAAACACTAAAGTTGCACAACTTCTTAGGCCAAAGAAAAGCCACTATTAACTCCACTGCAAAAGAAAAATCGGCTTAGATGGGCTAAAGAACATAGACAATGGACACCTCAACAGTGGTGTGCAATACAATGGAGTGATGAGGCCCGATTCGAAGTTTGTGTTGGTGACAGTCGCAGTAGAGTTATTCGCAAAAAATGAAGCATTCCATTTGACTGTCTGAAGAGAAAAGTGAAATTTCCAGCATCCATTATGGTCTGGGGCAGTATGTCATCAAAAGGAGTAGGAAAACTTCATTTTATTGATGGAAATGTGGATACAAGCAAATACTTGGCAATTTTAGAAGAATCGCTATTACCAGTGATGGAAGAATGTTTGACATATCCGGCCAAGATTTTGTGTTTCAGCAAGATGGTGCAGCGTGTCATACCTCAAAAAACGATATAAAATGGATGGAAGAAAATAATGTGCCACTTTTGAAATGGGTCTCTAGCAGTCCAGATCTGTCACGTATTGAAACTTTGTGGCACGAGATGAAAACAGTTTTACGACAACATTCTGCTCGTACAATCACCGAACTGAGACTAAAGCTTCAAGAAATATGGGATTGTTTTACACCAAATTTTTGCCAAAATCTGGTTAACATTATGCCCCAAAGAATTTCAGCCGTAATAAAAATAAAGGTGATGTTACCCAATGGTAATCTTTCAATTGTTGCTTTGTTAACTTCGCGCATTTATTCGCACATTGTTTATTTGTTCAGATGTTCTATTAGTTATAGGTCTATGTGATTTCAAACATGTATTTTTACGACTAGAGTGTATCTAAAATGTTTTTGAGAAAATAAATTGTTTTAGAAGTAAATAGTTTCGTCATATTTAGTTTATAAAGGCATATTTTGGTAACAAATCTTGAAGTGGGCCAACTGAAGTGGGAAGGGGCTCGTATGTGTGTACCAGTTAGCCTCCGCTGTTGGATAGGCTTTGAACCGATCGTTATACACGCCTGATTTAGTTTCGATCATATGAGCCCGCATAGATTTTTCTCAGGGGAAGGGGGAGAGCCATCCATCGACATTGTGTGGAAAAGTAACTTCTCTCAGAGAGCCAAATTCTAAACAGCCCCAAAGTTGTACAAAAAAACATGCTAAATATGCAATTTTTAATTTTACGAGTCTGTTTACCTAACTTGATCCGTTTAATTTTGTTACTTTTTTGTTATATATGTCCGTAGCTAACCTTTTTCTCACAGGGGCCAGCTTGAGTCGAGCATAATCCTTTATGAACTGATGATAGCGTTGCATAGGAAGTGCAGAGTCAACCTATGTGACGCCAGTTTTTCCTTCTTCAAATGTATTAATTCACATGTGTAACGCAACGTCAGTGCGAAAAAAGGGATCATAGAATGGACCGTTGTATCGTCAGAGTTTTGGTACGTAATACTAAAAATAGATTTACTTAGAATCCGAAAAAGCGCTATTTCAGGAAATTCGATAGGTGCAGTGGGTTCAGGGAAAAGACCATTTCCAACTCGCTACCGGATCAGATTGCTCGAACATACAACAGATTATTTATAAGTTAGGTAACTTCGCTACCACAATTTCGCCGAAACCCATCTATTGGGGAAAAACTATTTGGTTTGTTGAGCATCAACTCAACAAGCAACCTCCTACACTACGGCCGAACTGTCAGAATTTAAGAAAACCTTACATGTTCCTCTGAAACACTAAAAGAGCACAGAAAGGTCGAACTTCCACCATATAATAGGATTGTTGAAAATTTTTATCATGGGCCTAAACTCATTTTACTTCCCACTCCAATGGGTGGTATTATAATCGCGAAACATCCCGAAAATTAAATACTATAGTTTTTGGATGTTATATGACATGTACGAGGGCGGTGCGTTAAGTACCTAGCCTCACTATCGCAAGAGAAATTTACTATCGTGTATTACATTCTCCTAGATCATTGATTCCCAAAGTGGTCTGTATCGACCCCTAGGGGTCTATGACAACCTGCAAGGGGTCTACGTCAGCGAAAAAAAAATTGGGGGTCCATGAAATGAATATGGGGGTGCACGATAGTGGATCTCAACACATACACTGATAGTACCTATTTAGTTACATCATACTATCTTATAATATCAAAACATATACATTATTTATAAAAGTACCTATGAAGTAAAAAATTTATTATATATGTTTATAAAATTGTGTAAGTTGTAGGATGTTGGTATTCGCTTTGTGGTCGCAATACATTTTGAACTTGTAAAAACCTGAGAGTCGCAGTCTCAGAGCTTCGCTACCTTGCACTGACTTGTTCAATTTGTCACTCTATAAATACGAATGTGGGACAAATACGTTTATTCGTTTCCTGAATCTTGAAAAGGAAAGTGCTAAGGAAATATTTTAAAAAATATAAACAAATAGTATATCACACAAATTATAGTGAGTCAGTGTTATTTTGTTTGAGAGTGCTGGAGAAAAGTAAGTACATTATTTTTTATTAAATTTTAGTTTTATACTCGTAGTTAGCAAAGATAGATAAATTACGCCAATCATGACTTTAGTTATTAGTAGTTAAATATTCAATCATGCAAAATTACACGAGTACTCCTCAATAGTTTCTTTTTGAAAGTTTTAGCATTCGGTAATATAATTACAGTGCAATCTCCGTAATTCGAGCTAATTGTTGCAACAAGATGTTCGAATTATGGAATGTTTTCGGAAAAATCAAAAAATATTTTTAATATACAGCTGCTGGATTTTCTGTCTTAATTAAGTAATTTAATTTTGCCCACAGATGACTGATGCCATGTCCGAATCTAAAAAGAAATGTAGACAGTACAGTGTTGATTATTTGAAATTTGGCTTCATTCCATCATTGCCGGACAAACAATTGCCTATGTGCCTTTTATGCAACAAAGTTTTGGGCAATGACGCTATGAAACCATCTAAACTGCAAGATCATCTGAGAAGATGCCACCCTGATAAAACAGAGAAAGATTTGAAATACTTTCAAACACTCAAAGATAAATTTCAGAAGAGACCTCCACTGGACAGAATGTTCGCTTCGACGTCACAAAGAAATGATGATGGTTTGCGGGCGTCTTACAATATCTCGTTACTTATAGCAAAATCCGAAAAACCGCATACTATCGGAGAGAAGTTAATTTTGCCAGCCGTTGAAGAGGTTTTAAAAACTCTTTTACACAAACCTGCATCTGATATCATTAAAAGGATTCCCCTAAGCAACAATACTGTTGAAAGACGTATTGATGAAATGAGTTCTGATATTGAAAGCTTCTTATGTAATTATTTGCAAACGACCCATTTCTCTATACAACTGGACGAGTCAACTTTACCTGATAATGCAGCATTATTATTGGCATATGTTCGTTTTATTATGAATCAAGAAATCTACGAAGAACTGCTCTTCGCAAGAACTTGGATACCCGACGACACTAAAAGTGAATCAATATTTCATGTTTTGAAGGATTACTCCATTGAAAAAGCAATTCCTTTATCAAATATAATATCAGTAGCTACAGATGGAGCACCTGCCATGGTTGGACGTTATCGTGGATTTATAAGCTATTTAAAACAAAATGTGTCAGGGGTGTTAGCGATACATTGCTTCATCCATCGACAACATTTAATTGCTAAAAATTTGAGTGTTAGATTGCATGAATCACTTCAGTCATTGATACAGTAAACCGAATCCGAGGCAACGCGTTGAATACGCGGTTATTTGCGCAGTTGTGTGAAGAAAATGACGAACACTTTCATCAATTACTCCTTCACACTGAAGTACGCTGGCTGTCGAAAGGCTTATGTTTGACAAGATTTTAGAATTTCTGGATACTAAAGATAAAATTTTAAAATAAAATTTAATGAAGAGGAAAACAGACATCGCCTATTTAACAGATTTGTTTACAAAATTTAATATGGTTAATTTGCAATTACAAGGCGACAGTTTAAATTTGATTAAAACAAAGTCCATCTTATCAGCGTTTAGTCCATCTTATCAGCGTGTCTTGCCAGAGTTAAACTAATGAAGCAAAATATTTGACGGGGAGAATTTTCTCAGTTCCCCAATTTGTCACAGACAAGCTGCCAGGAAGACGACGTTTCAACTTACGTTCAACATTTAAATGCCCTCTATTCAGATTTTGAATTTAGGTTTGAGGATATTTTGACTATGGTAACACCACCGTGGATAATTCATCCATATATGGTGACATAGAAGAAACGAATGTCATAATACAAGAGGAACTGACTGAACTAAGTACAAACGAAGAACTTAAGGTTCAGTTTAAAAACGGATATCAGCAATTCTTGCTGCAAAACAACATACCCGTTACTTATCCCGTATTATGGAATATAGCGAGGAAATTTTTAATTTCCTTTCCATCGTCACACCTAGTGGAAAGGGGTTCAGCGCTGTTACCAATCTCCTAACGAAAAAAAGAAGCAGACTGGACATCATTAGCCTGAAAATTCAAGGATAGGTACACACTAAAATTCGTTAATTTTTTGCCTATTTTTAGATAACTTAAACGTATAAGAAGCGGAATTTAATCAAACTAACAGTGAAATTATTTTAGAACATACGTTTATGTTATAATTAATAAACGAACTCGCTTATTGTACTATTTTAAGTAAAAAACTTTTTTTTATCATTTTTTACTTTTAATTTATTTTATCCCTCTTATTTTTTTTCAATGCGGGCACTTATTCCCAATGCGGGCACTTATTGGTCAGACACCTGTTTATTTAATGTTACGTATATTTTACATAACAGATACAAAATTTTATTTTGATTAGTTTTAATTTAAATTCAATTAATAAATGTATAAATTAACATGTGTTTTTACTTTAAGTTTTTAAAACTAAACTTCACTACAGTTAGAAATTTACAGGAAATCAATATCAGGTAAGTAGGGGGTCTACCCAACACGGAAAACCATGGCAAGGGGTCTACGACACAAACAAGTTGTCCTAGACGGCCGCTGTCCAAATTTCAGCCGAATCGGACTCGTAGTTTTAGAGCAATGCGTTTGCTCTATCCGGATAACAAGCGCAACCATGACACCGAATGAATTATTGGTCGATTCAACGCCGAAGTGCAGAAAAAAAGGCCTCATTTGGCGAAGAAAAAATTCCTCCTCCACTATGACAACGCACCGGCTCACACCTCAGCCATTTTAGGCTACCAACTGCTGCTCCATCCACCGTATTCTCCAGATTTGGCCCCGTGCGACTTTTTTTCCAAACTTGGAAAAGTCACCCGGCAAAAAATTGAGTCAAACGAGGAGATGATCGTCGCCACGGAGGCCTACTTTGCAGACCTCAAGAAAAAGTATTTTTCAGACGGGTTAAAGAAGTTGGAGCATCGCTGGGTCAACTGTATCGAGCTAAAAGGGGACTATGTTGAGAATACAAATCGCCACTTTTCCAAAAAAATTGTATTTATCGGACCTCCCTCGTACATCACGAAAAATTATGCCACTCATTTCCGTCGATTTATTTGTCCGCTAATCCTTGAACCGCCTATAACTTGGGAATTATCATTTGGATTTGGATGAAATTTTCACACAAGATCACTACTATTCCAGGGACGAAAAAACTTTTTTAGTTTTTGAAAATCGCTAGAAATAAAAAACGCTCAAACTTCATGTTGGGGTTGAAATTCGGGAGAGAGGGGGTGGAGAGGGTATATGAAATTTTTTGATGTTAGTATATTTATATACTACCAAGCTCGGTCATTTTACGTTCCTATAAGCCACATCATAGATTTCCCCTTTAAAACTTGGAATGATGGAGAAATGTTTCAACCTAGTCCTGCTATCTAAGCTCACCGCCCGGTCTACAGGTCCGGCTAACTAGTCTATCAGTACTGCAGGGCACAAAACATACACGAAATGTTGGATAACTCGCTGCAGCGGAGCCGCGCAGATGCAGAAAGGGACAACGTTGCCAGATGGACAGTAACTACCGGTAGGGCAGGATAAGAATGTCTAGGGACTAATTGTATGGGCCTGTTTGACTGACTTGATCCGTTTAATTTCTGTACAACAGTACATGTTCGTAACTGACTTTTTTCTCAAAAGATTTACATTGCGCTTACATGTCAAAGATCCTTGTGTCCATTTTGTTGAATTTTGGCAGTATTTTTCATTGCAATAAGGCAGCTTAGTACATTCTTACTAGAAGATTATTATGTATTTGCGTCTCAGAGGGAGCAGTCTCACGAATAATATTTACGAAAAAACATACGTTAAAGTAAGTTACAACTTTTTGGTCTCGCTTAGTATCCCTTCGTATCTTACTTCTTTTTTGAAGAAAAAATAAAAACAACTCCATTACATGCCGAGAAACTGTTAAAATATGAGAGCAGAAGCCTGCATTGAAACTGTAGGTGGTCATTTCCAACATTTTTTTAAAAATACGGTAATTTGTCAAATTATTTTCCGTTCCTTACACCTTAAAAAGCACTTATACGAGTTCTAAATCTTGTGTATCGACCAAGTTAAAGTCGTAAACAAATCAAGTTGTTTTTATTTTCTCCTCGAAAAAGAAGTGAGATACAAAGAAATACCAATATCTGCTTAATCCGAAAACAAAAACTGTTTTTAAAAGTCATCGGCGTGTATTTTTGGCAGCATTATTCGTGAGCCTGTACCCCGGGACGCCTCTGGAACGAATAATTATCTTTTAGTTAGTGCGAACTTGGCGTCATAGTGCAATGAATACCACTGCCAAAATCCAATAAAATCAGCAAAAAGATCTTTGGGATATTGATAAAAAAACTATTTTTTTTTCAAACTCTCAAAGCTGACTTTTAAGCATACATGTTTATATGAACTTTTCTACTTCAATTTGGTTCCGTTCTTCAGACTATCAAGTAACGCCTTGTATAGTGCAAGGCAGATTTTATAAAATTTCTTGCAGATGTTATTGGCATTGCGCGATGATAAAATGATCAGACACGTTGATAGGTAAACAGACAAACAGTCTGGCTGTAATAACGTATTACCTCAATTTTAAAATCCAATATAGCAATAAAAACGATAATAAAAACTTTCATCTAGCAACTATTAGGAAATATTCAACAACAAAACAAAACATAAAGCTATTTATACTTTCAAAGACAATACACAATATCTTGATTAAGGTTTAAGATGAGTCATATAAATACATTACCATAGGAGGATGTATAAGATCATCGTAATTATACGAATCGTTAATCACTAGATCGTTTTTCTCATTCGTTTCTGAGATATACGAAATGCTTTTGGTGTTAACAATGGTTTATGGGTAAAATCACAATTCAAAATATTTATTTTCTAGATAATAACACTGATTGGAAAACGACATACTCGAAAATCTGATCGCAAAAGTTACTTCTACCTTGACAGTACATAATTGTAATGAGTAGAATACATCAATCTGTAACGCATCCTGTGGTTTGTGAAGGTTATTTACTTGCTTATCAACAAGTTCGACATATACAGGGTGGCGCATCGAAAACGAAAGAGACGCATTAACTGGCAGCTCAGTTTTTTTTTGAAAAACGCTCAGACCCGTCGATTTTGTTTTCGAGGGGGACACAAGACTGGCAAAAAATCACGTTAGCACGTGCAGCCCCCTAAGCGGGGGTGACACCACCCCCAAAATCTTAAATGGAAAGGGGGGTCGAGTGATACCTTATTTTAAAGGTCTTTCAATTCCCTTTATGATGATATAAAATTAATGTACTTCAGTTCAGTAGTTTTGAAGATTTATTGATTTACAGCTTAAATAAAACTAATACATCATCATTAGTGGAGATCAATACATTTGGCAGCAAAGTAATTTAAAAATGAAGAATGAACTGACCCGTTAAGCAAGTAAATGTTGAAAATGGCCACAATGACTCTCCATGCAATAATAAAGATTTTGCTCAAAACGTTGCCGCACATTTTGCAATATTTGAGGCAGTAATTTGAAGGCACTCAGTCACAATTCTTTGTCGCAGGTCTTCTAATGATGTTGGCTGAGTAGCATAGATTTTGCTTTTTAAATCCAAAGGTGATAAATCTGGCGATCTTGGGGGCCATTCAATGGCACCACTTCTACCAATCCATCGATCTGGAAACGTCTGATCTAAATATTGTCGAACACGTAATGCGTAATGTGGTGGGGCACCATCCTGTTGGAACATCAACCTATTCGCAATATACCGCCGATCATTCTGATTTTCAATTATGGCTATTAATGCAGGATCTATGGCGTCTTCCAGTAATTCCAAATACATTTCACCGGTCAAATTTCCAGGTCAGAAAAAAGGACCAACTAAATGATCACAAAAATACCAGCCCAAACATTTAATTTTTGTGGCTGCAGTGTATAAACCTCATGATAAATTCTGGGATTAGAATCGGACCAATATCGGCAGTTATGACGATTTACTATGCCATTTAAGAAAAAGGAACATTCGTCGGAAAAGCAAGTGTTGCATAGAAAATGTTCATCGTTTATAATTCGTTCACTCATATCTTCACAAAATTGTAATCGCCGATCAAAATCGTCTTCATTAAGTTCTTGTATCAGGTGAATTTTATACGGATGAAAACTATGGGCCTTTAGAATCCGTTGGACAGTACGTCGACTAACCCCACACACAGTCTCCAATTTGCGGGTACTTAACGTAGGATCTACATAAACTTTCCCTAAAACCCCCGACTTCTATTGCTTCGTTCCTTATGGGATTTTCAATGTTGCGTTTTTTATTGGCGACTGACCCAGTTTCCCGAAATTTAGCTACAAGTTCTAGAACATATTTTCGATGCACGTTACTGTTCTCATGTCGCTCATTAAATATTTCTGCTGTTCTATTAGCGCACTGATTATTTCCGAAAAATATATATAATTTCAACTCTTTCTGCTGTGGAATATACCATGGTTAATTTATGTAATAAAGCGTTACAAGTTATTTTAGCAACAAAGTTTGGTCAAATCAATCGCAAACTATGTACTAAATTCTTATTTAAAATAAGTTCGAGATATTTCC